GATGTTATTCCAGGAACTATATCTTCCCTGTTTTCCATACGGAGAGGAAAATAACTTATAGAGTCAGGTTTCTTTCTTCCAGAAAACTGGGGAAGAAAATTCATAATGCTTGGCCCCTGACTATAGTTTCCAATGGTAGAACTTCTTGGCACTGGGGATGTATCACATGTTGTCATTAAGGAACAGGGTTCTATTGGAGCTTGGCAACCAGTAGCCAATATTTCTCTCTCTATATATAACTCTTCCCTCTCCATTTTCAAATCAAAACCATATTTGATACCTATCTGACTGACAGCTGTTTTACTTAACTGCCTCTTGGGATATTCCCAGTATTATATTTTCTTGAAATCACACTTTATGTCTGAGTCAGGGCTGAGAATAGACACCAAATCTCTTATTTTTCTGTCTAGCGTGTCTGCCGAGGACACCAATTCATTTGGAGCTTGGGAATACTTTCAGCAAGTATTACAGATGCCACTGGATGTTTGTAATCTAGCTTCGCACCCCCAGTCTAGTGGGTCTCAAACTTTAGGAATGCATCAGAATCACCTGGAGGGCTTGTTAAAACCCGGATTGCTAAGCCCCAACCCCAAAGTTTCTGTTTCAGTAGATCTGGAGTGGGGGCTCAAGAATTAGCATTTCTAGGCTGGGTGAGGTGGCTCACGCCTGCAATCCCAGCACTTTGGGAGCCTGAGGCGGGAGGATCACTTGAGGCCGGAAGTTCAAGATCAGCCTAAACAATAGTGACACCCCCATCTCTACAAAAAGTAGAAAAGTCACTGGCCGTGGTGGCACACACCTATAGTCCCAGCTACTGAGAAGGCTGAGGTAGGAGGATTGCTTGAACCCAGGAGTTTGAGGTTGCAGTGAGCTATGATGATGCCACTGTACTCAACCCCAGCCAATAGAGTAAGACACTATCTTCAAAAAGAAAAAAAAAATAGCATTTCTAACTAGTAATCAGGTGGTGATGATGCAGCTGATCCAGAGATCTATTTAGAGAACAACTGCTTTAGGAACATTTCCTCTAGTATTTGGCCTCCAAATGTTTCTCATAAACCAAATTTTAGGGAATGACAAACTAAAGAAAGGACTGGAAAGGATCTAGGAAAATCATATAAGTCAGAAAAAAGATATGCAGACTTTTTCCTTATCTCCTTCTCCTCTTGACAATGGAATGGTTATAGGAGCCCAAGCAACTCTTTGCATAGTATTTGGTAGTTATAAGCTCTGAGAAAGGCTGCTTTGGAGTTGGAAATATCTATGGATACAATATCGTATGTAACATGAAATGTTAAATTTATTTAAAAGAAGAGATGATTTCTTCATTTTGAGAAGATAAAAGAGGAAAATAAAAATGT